TTTCTGAAATAATAAAGACAATCTGTTAAGATGGGTCTATTTGTGAAATCTGTGGAGACAGAATAGAACCACCCATCTTTTGCAATACAAAACCTCAAAATTACATAAATCTATAACTTGGCATTTATCACATAAAATGTTAGAATTAATCATTGATCATATTAATAATAAGTGATCACTTTACAGTCATACTGAGTTGTAACTACATACTGATATATTGATTTGAGAGAGTAAATAAGATAATTTGATAGTTTCTTTATGTTAGTGAGTTGATATACGTGTTCCTTTACTTTTTGCTGGAAAAAATATTACTGTTGAGAAGCAGGATTCAAGAGTGACTTGTATTGGTTGTTTTTAAACAAAATGTTTTTTGACATTTTGAGTTACTTTGTGATTGAAAATTGGTTGTTGAGTTGTAGTTTTCATCACTTTATGCTTTGAGCATTAATAATTTTATACATTTTATGAAATTATAATCTTTTAAAAAGACTTGTACTTAAAGGACAGTGACAGTCAATATGAAAGCATGCATTTAAGATATTTGGTGTTTTTACTAAGTTGTTTCTATATAAGTAAAACAATGTCCCATTTTAGATATAAAAAAATGTGAAGTGTAACACAATGTAGAAAGTTATTTGGACTTTTTGAATATTTAACAATTTAGAAAGTGAACAACACCTTTGGATCTGTTAATGGACTTTTAACTTTAAATATAAAATGCTCTTGCTCCTTATATTTAAGTCTTGTTCTGATATTTTATGAACTTTCCATATGTTTAAAGAATTAACTAGACAGAGTACATTAGGGAGTTACCTCATGTAAAATAAACCTTGTTTAAAATACATGAGGTTATGAAGCTGAACTAAAGCATGTACACTATTTTGGTTGGAACAGTTAAAGACTTGGGCCAAGATATTAAGATAGTTAAAGATTAAACAAACAATCAAAATACAAGCTTGTTTATAAACATAATTTATTCTTCTTTTAAGTGGTTTGTGCTTTTAACTTGGGTTCTTTCAAAACTGTTAGTTGGACTTGTGAGAAAAAACAAATTATATTTAAGTCTCCTTTTTTGTTTCTGTAAAGTGGAAAATTAGAGGTAATAAGTTTAATTTTATTAGGCACAAATACAGACATAATTGTTCAAGTTATGAAATTGTTTGTCTGATTATGTAGTATAATTTGTTAGCATGGGTATGTATGAATATGTAAAGAGCTACATGTATTATGACCATATATTTTGGTTGCTTGTTTTTGTGGGTGATGAGTGATCTTAATGGGCTAAATGGCTTTGTGTCACCTTGCTTTTTCCCCCATGTTTCATGACTACAAGGAACCGTATTCTAACTTATGTGAGATACTTGTTTGTTTCCTGTATATGTATTGCTTCCAGTATTTTAGTTCTGCTTATTATAGGAAAAGGACATACATCATTTTAACTTTTCTCACTGAATGAAACCTTGTATACATAAATACATATGAAAAGGACAGCAGATAACTGGCAACATTATATTATTAAATGTACGAATGATATGAATAGTTATTTATTAGATGTTTTCTTCTCTAGTACTTGAGCTTGATGTAATACACTACAAAATTGTTAATAATGCAAAATATAACTCAAATTTCGATAGGTACATGGGCATGATCTTGAAAAAAACAAATGTAATAAAATCTTTTTGATTCTAAAATAATTTTACAGGTGTAATGCACATGCTGGTTAGTAACTTGCATGGAATTTTGAATTTCACTCTTAAATACAGTTCAAGATTTATACAGTGAATATTTTTTTCAATGTTTTATCAGCTACAGAGTATGTGATCTATGATGTTGTTTGTTTATTATTGCTTGAAAAGTAAGTTTTATAAATAATTATTAGATACTAAATTGTTTCTGAATTGTATCGGAAATGGCAATTATATTTAAACAACGAAACACATATTACCCTTTTATTATTATTATTTTTTGCCTTTAGTATTTCTAAAACCAGTAAGATCATAAGAAGAGTGTTTAATTATGCTCTATGTATTGTGAGATATTTTATATGATATGATATTTTTTACTGTTATTATTACAGACTTGAAATATATGTGAAAAATGGAAAATATGTCATGAAGTGTAAATGATATACATGTGATCCAAGTTTAACTGTTCTGTTAAAATGGAAATTAGGCTCAAAATTAGTTTATTTAATGTTTGTTTCTTTGATACATTTGTTCTTACAGTCGTAAATACTTTCTGGTAACTACAATGGAAATCAGCTTAAGTGTTCTTGAAACTTCACTGTTGAACTTACAATAAGGTAATTAGTTCTCACTGGAACAGCCCGATGTCATACCATTAAGTTTAGTTAAACTAATTGAACAAGCAAACTTGGTTATTGTTCCATTTCTTTTACAAGTTTTAAGTCTATGTAGTCCTGCTAATCACTCTTTGTAAACAAAACTGCATGTTTTGAGGGACAGTAGTTTGTTTTCACTTTTCTCATAATTCATTATCTGTGTTATATATATATATATATATATATATATATATATATATATATTAATATAGAGATATAGTATACTAGTTACTAATATTATACTCTACTAATAACTACTATTACTTTATTAGTTATTTTAATTAATAAATAAAATAA